TGATATGGATTCTGATCTGATACATGACCTGGATTCTGATATGATACTTGACTTGAATTATGTTTTGATTTTTGATATATCCGTTTACGGACGGAACATGTTTTATTGGGGGTATTGTTGGAGGAAGATTACTTGGAGGTTCCTCGGCTGTGTGCTTAGGGCCTTACTTACCAGTTCCTCGGCTGTGTGCTCAGTGCCTTACTGGACGTGACAGAGTTGTATGGTTCTGGGGAACCTACACATTTTGTTCGTGACGGATGGGGGTATATATATATATGTGTTTTAAAAAGATATGAAAAGTTACATGGTTTTTGGGAACACACTAGAAAACCTATTCTGATCTTCCGAACTCAGTCATTCGAAATATTTCTCTGAACTGAAAGCTCATTGTCCGTTACCACCTGAAATATCAGTAGGATCTCTGCTCAGCATAAAAATCTGTAAATGTTCGGAAACAATAAGGAAATCTATATTTATTTGTATCTGCACGTTCGTCAGCATCATCTGGTAGTTCTGTATTACTGAGCTTTCCAAAGCTCACTCTATTACTCACCTTTTCAGGTTAAAAGAATTGTACTAGTGCATCTATCGACTTCAGTAAGGGAGTTCGTCCGGTGTTGTTGCAGAGTATGGTACATGTGATTAGGGGGCATGTAATTGTATTTTGATTTATATACGAGTTTGGAAATCTGTTTTATTTTTAAATAGTGAAAATTGATTTTATAAGTTTACATGTTCTGATAAAAAGTTTTAAATTTTCTGCTATTTTTACAGTGAGTCGTTCCGGTGGCCCTAATGTGACTTCCCGGATCGGATCGAACTATCCGCATCGGTATGGGGGTTACAGATCACACTTTGATATAGAGAGGCAGACATACTTGGGGGAGAGACCATCCTTTCTCATCTCGGCAAAGACTGCTTCGGCTTTCTGTTTCATCCCGGCTTTGCAGTAGGCCTTGACTAGAAGGGCACAAGTATCTTCAGTCTGTATACATCGAGCTTCGAGAAGTTCCAAGTACGTTGATTCGACTTGCTTGTACAAAGATTTCTGCCCATAAGCTTCTAGCAGCAGATTGAAGCACATAACATCCAGCTGAAAGGAGCTCCTTTGCAATTTTCATTCTCAAAGCAGTAGAAATAATAACAAATCAACAAGAATAAGAAGAAAGTAGTACTGTGGCTAATGGTAGATTGTTCCAACCAGCACAATTGGATCCCATTTCTTGTTTAAACGGAGTTGAACAGCCACATTGATAAGATCATCCCAAGTAGCATGAGTGGGAGGAAGATTATCGAGTGAACCCCGAATCCAATCCGCATCGAACTCCTCCTGGAGGAAATCCAGAATCTGCTGAGCAACGGGGCTTAAAACAGTGAAAACTCCATCCACAAAACCAGAACCATATTTCCATCCCTGACCTCTTAAAGAACCACCTACATGGACAAGACTGAACTCTTAAAAGACTATTCAAAAACCAATAGTTTCATTCGATTCAACTATACAGCACTTGCAGACAGTATTTACATCGTTTCCTGGATAGTTTCTTGAGATAAAGGTCCACAATTTGCCTCGTTTGTCGATGTAAACACCATCACGTTTCCATTTCTCGATAGAAACATCACTTGAAGAAGAACTCATTGCTGCTATCCATCTGGGCCTAATATAGCTTCTTGGTTGAATGTAAACATGGTTGAGCGTGTTTCCAGCAACCAGCCTGAGAAAGGGTATTGTTGTTTTATTACGTTTGATGTGATAATGGTGATTGAAAATGGAAACCCAGTTCGGAAAAGAAAGCATAGACCGCATAAACCAGCAAAAACAAGAGAGAAATTAAGAAGACAGTCGCCAGAAAACTGCTCGGAAATGGATATAAGAATGGAGGTGAAGAAGACTGAAAATGGAAACGCCAGATATTTAGAAAACCTGAGAATTGAACTTAGCATGATGAATCCCAAGAGGAGGAGCTTGCAGTTGAATTATCTTGTAATATCTTTGTTATGTTTCATTCAAAGCTTTCTTACGATACACATGAACAGTCTAGGACAATGCACAGATTTATAAAATAATGAGATACAGTACCCTTGATTTTCATCCTTTTACTTGTATATGCTCCATGGTGATTCCTTATAAGCAAAATTTTACAGGCTGTAACTAAATTAAATGTTTTTATATTGTTGCAATTTATTCTTGGGTACAAGTTAGTGTTCACTTTATTTATTTTCTTGTTTAGAGCTAGTATTATTCTTGTATATATATATATATATATATTATGTTTCCTTGGAAAATAAAACAAGTAATTTTTCTCATTATGTTTTGATGTTAACACAAAATTTGAAGTATATACGTTTCTCAAATTAATTGTATGCCGGTATTGTCAATTGAATCACTTCAAAAGAACTTCATATGCTCTTGAACTGGTTTTATTCTTATGATGTTTCCTTGGCAAATAAAACAAGTAATTTTTCTCATTATTTTTTGCTGTTAACACAAAATTTTAAGTATATAGGTTTTTCAAATGCTGGAATTGTCAGTTGAATCACTTCAAAAGAACTTCATATGCTCATGAACTGGCTTTATTCTGATTCAAATTGATTATTGGGTTGTGATTGAAAATTTTCCATCAGGTGCACCTGGGTATATTGCTTCCACTTTTCTAAATGGAGTGTCATTTGTTGAAGGGTGGGAGCAGAACTTTTTCATTTCAAAGTGGAGCATGCACCGATTAGCAAGCATTTTCTTTTTCATTTAAGCATTTCTACTTGGATGAACATGAGGGCATGGATTGTCTATTGATATGCCCATTATTTATGAAGTTTTTCTGAAAAATCTTTCTCAAATTTTCTTTTGGAGTCAGTTAATATGTTTCACTCTCACCTAATTCTGCAATCCTAATTCCTTGCTTTGTATTTCATGTGCTTATTTTTTTGGATTCAAGTGACTGAAATGCGCTGCTAGCAGTTGTGTAGGGGGTTTATGACTATAGATTCTGGGCTTTGAATCAAGGACTGGATACTTTTAGGTCAAAACTTTAAATTAAATTAGCCTAAAGAATAATGGCGTTGATTCTTTTCCTGTTCATTATATGCGAGTAACCTGTAATAAAGTTTATTATGTAGTTAAGTGTTGGAAATCGATTAGTGCCAACTCAGCCTACTACACTGCCTTATTGGATGGAAGATTATGTTGTGTTATGGTTCACGCAGTTAGTAGATGCAACGTAAAATCTCTTTGAAGTGTTTGCTTGGATTTTGTTTTGCCTCTTCTTTTTCTTTGTATCTTTGAGGTGGTTAAGATTATTTATTTCTGTCCTGCATTATCAGTTGATTGAGTGCCCATTCGATAAGTTAATGGCTTGTCCAAATTTCCATTGGCAACATATGCCGCTTCTTGAGATCTGGAGGGAGAAAGAAGGTTGTGATGGATCTCCTCGTACTATTCTAGAGTCTTATCACCCTGGAGAAAGCATTGATATCTTTAAGGAAGCTCTTTCAGGCAACGTGGTAAGCTATGAACTTTGCTTATGCAAAAGTAGTTCTCTGTTGAGTCCAGTTCCAGAAATAAATAGAGAACTTTGGTGTTTAGTACCTTAAGATAAAAGAGGGTGTTTCTTTAATAAGTGGTTTTAAGCAATCAAATAACTCTAGCTGTGTAAATGGTTTAAGACATTTGCTATGTTTCCTCTGTAGTCCAATTGCTTGTATTTATATTCAGGTCGATTATGGTGGAGAGAATCTTCCACTTCCATTCAATTTGGAGATCTTGAAATGGGCTAAAGACACACACAAGGTGTTGGCTCAAGCTAAGCTTCCTCCTGGAGTTAAATTCTACAATATATATGGGATTAATCTTGAGACACCACATAGAGTCGGGTAATACCTCTATTTGGCTTTTTTTTAAAGTGTTACAGTATGCATCCTATGGTTAATCTTTTCACAAATTTGCAGCTATGGAAGTGAAGAGACACCTATCACAGATCTACAGGATCTTCGATTTTTTCAGGTAATTTGTCGTTTAAGGCAGCTCTCATTTATATGCTGTAGTTCACAATGTTCAGTATGCTTTGTTTCTATTCATGGATTTGGCTACTGATGCTGAGTTTCTTCTGCATATCAGCCTAAATGAGTATGTGTTGATGGCGATGGAACAGTTCCGTCAGAATCGGCTAAGGTTAGCTAACTCCCCCATTACAATTTGCCATGGTTTTATCATTTACATAGTACTTACCATAACTCATGTTTTATCCTCTTTTATGGGATTATTGTGATTTATCTGTAAAATAATCTAGTCTGCAATATCTCGACTTATTTAATTCTGGTTATTCTTAGGCAGATGGACTCGATGCTGAAGCAAGGGTCGGAGTCCCCGGTGAGCACCGAGGAATTCTTTGTGAACCTCACGTATTTCAAATTCTCAAGCACTGGTTGAAGGCAGGTAATCCCGACCCATTCTACAACCCAGTAAACGACTACGTGATATTACCAACAGCATTCGAAATGGAAAGCCTCCGTGAGAAGGGCTTACAAGTGACATCACTCAAAGTGGAAAGGGAAATAGTCTACGAAGATCAAGACAATCTTGACAATACAGCTAGTAAAGACTCACTTGTTAACTCCATATCTGTTTCGAAAGGGGAAAAGAAGCGAACCGTAAGATCCGAAGTTCATGCAACTGTGGGTAAACAACAAATTAAACTAAATGCCATAAGTGTATCCGTTGATGCTTAGAGTTGAATTGTGTAACTTGATGACTAAGAAAAGACCTCCCATGTGTAAACTGTGTACATAAAAGCTCATGACTTTGAACTTGTATATTATTCAACAGTGTTGAATGTAAAATTATAAATGCGTTTGTACATAGTATAACATAATAAAAACCGCCCCTGCAAGTTCAAATCATTTCAAATTACTTGATCAGTTTAGTTTGAGTTTTAATCCGACTCGGATAGGAACTATGGCGTTTGAAAAGTTAGCATTGCCATTGATAAATAAGAAGCACTACAAATCATCAAGAAGAAAACTGCATAAAATTTGATCCAAACAGCTAAATTGATAACCAAAATTCCAAAATCAAACAAAAGATTAGTGAAAACAAACTATAAATCCATCTCTTGCAAATCAATCCCCACCAGCCTTATGGTAAACATAAGTAAGCCCACACTTACCGCAATAATGCCTATTAAAATGGTTAGCCATGAAGGTTCCCGCCCCACACTCGGCATTAGGGCACTCTTTCCTCAGCCTCTGAACCTTCCCAGACTCATTCACCTTGTAGAATTGGAGCACTGCGAGTTTGACCTTCTTCTTCTTGTGCTTGATCTTCTTGGGCTTGGTGTATGTCTTCTTCTTCCTCTTCTTGGCGCCGCCCCTTAGACGGAGGACGAGGTGAAGAGTAGATTCCTTCTGTATGTTGTAATCCGCTAAGGTCCGGCCATCCTCGAGCTGCTTGCCGGCGAAGATGAGGCGTTGTTGGTCCGGTGGTATGCCTTCCTTGGCATGGATCTTGGCCTTGGCATTGTCGATGGTGTCGGAGGACTCGACCTCTAGGGTTATGGTCTTCCCCGTTAGGGTTTTGACGAAGATCTGCTGTTTCGAAATGGGACTTTTTCTTCTCTTTGTTTGGGGTTTCATATATTGGAGGGTGGATTTAGGGCTTGTGTGAAGAATAAAATTTACGTAATTGCCTATGCATTTTCTTGGGTTAATTGGGCCATTTATCTGAGACCCCTATCATTAATAAAAGGTAAAAAGTGTCTGAATTATCCTTCTTTTCTTGTTTGTGTTTAATTTCTTTTATCAATTTAAGTGTATAATATTGCCAACAAAATAATAATTACGTGATAATAATAGTTAAAAATTCTTTATATGAGACGTGTCATATTTATAAAATTTTAAAATTTTTATTTAAATTAAAAAACTTAAAATTATATATATATATATATAATCTTAAAATTTTCTTAGATCTTAAAAAAACTCAAAATTTTAAAAATAATAATTCTAAATTTCTCTACCCATACCAGGTGTCATCACCATCTGTCATTCATATCACTAATATGTCATTGACCATCCACGCATTTATCAACGCATCTATCATCAATCATCCTCTAATCGACAGTCACTCGAAACTCTTAAAATCTTTAAAATTTTCAATGTTCAATGAAAATGTAAACACCATTCGGTGTTAATCAAATCGATGGAAGATCACATCACATGAATAAGATTTTTTTGCTTATCTTCAAGTACGATTTTGATATTATTTGAGATTTTAAAATTTAAAATATTGAAATAGTACAAACAATAATACTAAAATTCCATGTGTAAAATAAAACATTTCATCTTTATCAGACAAAACAATCACACATGTATAGACACATTTGTTCATCCACAGAACGATGAGAATCCCAATGCCATTGGGAGCTTTCTCATTGTTTTCCACAAGGAAAGTCATCGAAGTTATCAAAATATGGATTGGATCTTGTGAGAATTCGACTGTACTCAAATCACCCATACCTAATCTTAGTGATTATCTTAACCATTAAGATTATCTTAGTGATTATCAGCTTCTACATTCAAATTAGGGGAAAAGGAACAACTATACCTAATCTTTAAATTGGTAAATGTTTAAATCACTTTTAAATTACGATGATCATCATCTTCTCAGCCAATAAGTAATATGGTGCTTTTCTTCCCAAATATGTTAAATGAGAGACAAACACGTGGTTTATGTTAGAGAATAAGTTCATAAAATATTAGTACGATTTATAAAACTTTAAGAGAAAGGAAATAAATTGTCAATTAAAAATATGAAAAATTAAAATTTAAAGAGGACGACTACCATCACCTCTAAGTCCATCCCTTATTAAGATTCATCTAATTAGGGGTGTAAATGAGCCGAGTCGAGCTCGAGTATGCTGAGCTCGACTCGACTTGAAAATTTTGAAATGAAGCTCGACTCGACTCGACTCGAAAACTCGCAAACTTAAAATTTTCAAGCTCGACTCGAACTCGAAATCCTAAACTGAAGCCATGAGCAGCTTGAAAAGGCTCGAAATGAAAAAAAATGATTAAACTTAACTCGATTGAAGCCTCAAACTCGAACTCGAACATGAACCTTAAATACAAGAAATCTTACTGTATTTTTTTATTATAAAAAAATCAATACATAAATATTATATTATAATAATTTATTTCTAAAAAATAAAATCTTAATATATTATATTTTCGAGCTGCTCACGAGCTTTTCGAGTCGAATATCGAGTAGCTCGTTTCGGCTCGTTAAGAACTCGAGTCGAGCTCGAGCTCGAGTCGAGTCCATTCGATCCGAGTATTTATCGAGCTTTGATCGAGTCAATCTCGAGTAGCTCGCAATCTGTCTCGTCTCATTTACAACCCCTACATCTAATATTATTATTAGATTGAGAGAACCATCCTTATAATAATAATCTATTTAGTAATCAATCTGGCTTAATTAATAAATAAAAATAATAAAAAATATTTTTTTAATAGAATAAAATATATAAACTTATTTAATCAACAATTTATTTTAAAATGTAATTATTTTTTAATAATCGTAACACCAAACATGCTGTTTAAGAATTAAAAGTGCAAGAATTTATTCATAAAATCCGAACTTTGAACGAAACCGAAGTTGCTAATCTGCAATTAAATCAATTATTATTTTCAAAGTTTCAATTTTGCTGTTGTTTTCTCCCTTCAAAATTCAAAACCTTGTTAACCGCTGTTCACTCTACTGTTATTTTTCTTATTTCTCTATATCCGAAAATTCAACAAAAGAGTGATTCCGAAGAGAAAACGAAGGGAAAGCTTCAAATCACAGATCTCTATTTGTTTTTTCTTTGAAACCCAGATTTCCATTTTTAAAAATTTATAAGAAAATGGCACCGAAATCATTGATCTATGCGTTTATATCTCGTGGAGATGTTATATTAGCTGAGTACACTGAATACAGTGGGAATTTCAATTCCATAGCTCTACAGTGCCTCCAAAAGCTTCCTTCTTCCAACAACAAGTTCACTTACAACTGCGATGGCCACACCTTCAATTATCTTGTCGATAATGGCTACAGTTAAGTTTTTTTTAAAGCTTTTAGTTTTTTATTTTCAAGAATTAAAATTGTTGGTTCTATGATTTCAAAGGTTTGGGTCTTTTGTGAAATGAACGCAAAGCAAAATGAAAGAGAATAAAATTTTGGGGCTTTTATTTTTCATTTTAAATTATAATCTGATCGTTGGAAAAACATGGGATTTAGGATCTAGAGGGGAAGTTTGGATTTTGGTTTCTGCCATTGAAATTGTTTAGGAGAAAATTACTTGTTAGAAATGAAAAAAAAAAGAAAAGAAGAAACTTTGTGTTTTATGCTGTTGTTTTTCATATGTTAATGAAGTTTATCTCTGATTATTATGCATTATAGAGTATTGGAAACTACACAAATTGAACTTAAAAAATTTGTCTCCGTATATGTATCGTGTTCATGTATATGCAGGTTGTTGAAGGCTCATGTGCCAACGTGGCTATTCTATTTTATTATGTTCTGTGTTTCTTCTGAAAGATGAATGTAATGTCTTATCTTTATATTGTTATATACCAACTTCGGGTGAAAAAAGGGATATCGATATGGTTTTTCTTCCCTGTATTTCGGATTCCATGTTGCTGGTGAAACAGGAGAGCAGGGAGAGGGGATGTGGGAGAAATATATTATTAGAAGTCTATTCAAGATTCAGTGGGAATTTTATTGTTTATGCATATTGCTTCAATGAAGTCTAATGGACTCCACGTTGGTGGTAGAACCTTCTTCTATGTTATCACTTGCAATCTCGTTGTCGTCTCCTTTTTTCATATTGTGTTTGTAGATTGGCTGACTTTTCGATGTTGCAGTTTATTGCGTTGTTGCAGATGAGTCGGCCGGAAGGCAAATTCCAATTGCATTTTTGGAGCGTATCCAGGATGACTTTGTGTCAAAATATGGTAGTGGAAAGGCTGCTACAGCTCCTGCCAACAGCCTGAATAAGGAATTCGGGTATCGATATCTTGACCAAACTCCTGAAAACAATTAACAGGGGGAGGGGTATTTTCTTATTATTGTAGAGAATATAACAAGTTATTAGTTACAGGCCGAAACTGAAAGAACATATGCAATACTGTATCGAGCATCCTGAAGAAATTAGCAAGCTTGCTAAGGTTAAAGCTCAGGTTTCTGAAGTCAAAGGTGTTATGATGGAGAACATTGAAAAGGTAGATTTGCTTTGTTTTACCTGTCATTTACTCTTAGGCTGATTTTTACTAATTAGTCATAGTGACTAACGACTTTGATAATGTTTAACGGTCTCTGTGTAATTTTTCCGGGGTTGAGTTTATTGAATTGTTCAAGTAGTTCAAATGGTTTGCTAGTTTTTCCAAATGCCTATACGTGTCCTGTGCATCCATGGAACTATCTGGTTTTGCTTCTTAAATGTCACATTTTCCAGTACGTCCTGGTTGATGTTGCCATCGTGTAATACTTCCGTGCTGAGTGTGATTCACCAACGATAAACTATGATAAGATTTTGGTACCAACTATATATCAGAAACATACTTTTGGTAGTTGTTACTGAATTCCCTTCCTACAGGTGTTAGATAGAGGAGAAAAGATAGAGCTGCTAGTGGATAAGACCGAGAATCTTCATCATCAGGTAAGTGACTCTTGCCGTCACCTCTTTCATTATCTTTCATGCATCGCTCCGGGTCTCCATGAACATATAAACATGTATGAACTCAAATGGCGGTTTCTTTTTTTCCCTGTTCATTTCATGCGAGAGTCGAGTAGAGCCTTGGATGTTAGATCATACAAGTGAGACATAATTTTAAGATGCCTTCACGTTAGCTACACATCAGTTCGTGCTTCACGACCTTCCGAGATGATTTCTTTGCAGGCTCAAGACTTTCGAAGTACCGGGACAAAAATTCGAAGAAAAATGTGGCTGCAAAACATGAAGATCAAACTGATTGTTCTAGGAATACTGATTGCCTTGATCCTCATCATTGTCCTGTCTATTTGCCATGGTTTCAACTGTGGGAAAAAATGAATGCTACTCTTGAGAGCCGTGCTAGCTTCCACCACAGCTTTTGTGAGGAAAAGATCAAAATACATAAAGACTTTATATATGTAAACAAAATCGTAATAATTTTTGTTATTTTGTTTACATGGATGTGCTTCAGTCAGTTGGCAATTTTTTCTGTTTCATACTTGAACTTGTTTTGATTTTCTTCCATCTTTAGCTCAATATTGTTTGCCATTTTTGCCTGTTCGAAGTTCCAGAAACATGTGCGGAAATGTTTCTTATTAACACTGTTGATAGGGATAAGTTTGCCTCATTGACAGTTCACTTTTTTTTTATTTAGAGGAAGAAGAAAACGATTGTTGGTCGATGCCTTTTCATGAGAAATAGTTGGCCATAAGAAACAAGAGGGTGATTATGTGTAGAATGCTGAAGGTTTCTCCCTTTATCGGACATAGAATGATTATGGTATTTATAAATCAATATAAATAGATTTAATAGTTAAATATTAAATTTCGTTTTGATAGTCACGTGAACTTATCAGTGGTGTTATATATGCATTGTAGATGAAGGTTTTAGTTCGAAAAATACTAGTCCTTAGAGGTTTCTGTAAACAAAAAAGTCTATTCGAAATCTTGACTGACGAAAAATTGACAATTCTAGAGTAATTCTCCAAAATTTTTAAAAATATCACCTCATTTCTCTCTCAAACCATCAGCTCTGCATCTCAAAACCGAGCTCCGATTCTCCCACAACTCTTTCCATTAACCCCTTTCACATTTCTCATTAGGGGCTAATTTGGTATAGTTTTTGAAAAAGCATTTTAAAAGTGCTATATAAACGGACTTTTAAAAGTGTTAAAAAAAGTGCAGTTTAAAATTGTATTGTTTAGAATTATTGTTAAAAAGTGAGTTGAAAATATAAAATGTCCATTATACATATTATGTGTAAATTAAAAATATAACATTTAAATTATATTTACAATTATTTTTTGGTACTAAAAAGTTTAGGTCCTAGTCTAGGGTCAGGACATTATATTTACAATTATATATGAATCATATTAATGTAAACTATATAAATTCAAAAATATCATTATATATGAATTATATCAATTTAAATATATAAAATAAAAATAAAAATATCATTATAATAAATATATATATATATATATATATATATTTTATATAACTCACTATAATATTTTAATATATAAATCATAAATTTCATATATGATCGGAACTGAGTGGGGACCCTAATAGCGTGGCGATGAGGTCAACCGATGACGAAATCGGCATAAAAATTGTGAAAACCACGACGGTGGATGAAACTTTTCGACGAGGCTTTCTTGGTGATTCACTGCAAACGGTGAGCTTAGATGGAGAGAGGTCGTTCGGGTTTTGCTCAGCTGGGATGGCGAGTCGAACGGTGGTGGTGTCGGGGCCTACGGGTCTGTGGTGGCCGAAATTGCAAGGAGAAGAAAACAATGAATTTGGGTTTTCGACGAGCAAACAATCGTCGATTCACGGCGAATGACTGCGACTTTCGACAAATTGGCAGAGGGCTTTTGATCGAAGGACGATGGGGAACAAAATGGTGGTAGTGGTACACTCATTGCGGCCAGAGTTTAGTGCACGGAGGGGGACGAGTTTGGAAAACATTTCCTAATTATTATTATTATTATATTATATATTATTTAATTTGGTTCAATCCAATGAGAAATAAATGATCTGGAATTTAAAATCCAGGCTAAGTAATTAACTATAAAACATATTTTAATAAAATGTATTAGAACAATCCCCTAGCCTAAACGGTAGGTCTTTGGGCATCTTTCCTTCTATGGAAGGTTACGGGTTCAATCTCACCAATCTCTACAATTTTTTTTTCAAAGTTAAAGATCGATGTGATAATTTCAGCTTAGGTCCCTGTGCTTCCTATAATTATCAAAAATTGACCTCAAGTTTCAAAGTTTTATACAATTTGGTCCTCATCATAAATAAAAATTCAATTTAAATCAAAATCAGTGAAAATCGGGGTGTGACACGGATTACATGTAGAGTCCAGATAAGCTCGATTCCTAAACGAGACTAGATTCTCGCAATTCTCTTTTATAAAAATTTGAATCTAAAATTTTATTTAAACGAAAATTAAACTTCTTAATAATCGACCTAATACACTGTTATACGGAGATAGTGACAATAGAAGCAATCGTAAGATAAAAGAGGAAACTAAGATTCTACATATCAAAATCTAATTGAGAAAAGCAACAGCAAAGTAGGATAATTAAATTTTATGAATGTTGAAAAATATAAAATAATTGCGGTTATACGTGACTTTCAACACTTAATTGAATCCATAACCGTTTATAGAGATAACACTTCATTACAAAGAAAATTTGTGTACTAAAACTCGTACACAAACGTTGATCAAACCAAATGATATTAAAGTCTTGTGAGCCACAACTAATTAGCTTTGTCCCACAACTCTAAATATTGCTTACCTAATGACTTGGGCTATGCTTTTTTGCACCATCTGTATTTGCCCGAGTGCCATGAATGATGATGAAACTCATTCATAAGACAAACCTCTATCAAACTAAAAGTCTTTAAACATGTCTGCTCCACTCCTTTATATTATTATTATTATTATTATCTAAATCCAGCATATCAATCTATGAACCATCAAAGTTCTCTTACAAATTTCTTTCTCCATCAAGGGACCCATCTCATATATAAAATACCAACAACAAAAAAATGTGTCGTTGGAATCAACATAAAAAAAAAACCCAAAACAATGTTTATTTATTTTTTAACTACTTTTACTTGGATGAAGTGATCATACAATATGACATTAGCATGACGATAATCATGAAATTCGAATCACATGCATGGACATGAACACCTTACATAGAATATCTCCAATAAATTATTTCAAGTATATATAAATATAAATATAATTATAATACGTAAATATATATCAACACAATGAATTGTCGTAGGTGAAATAAAGTCCAACGTTATCTGTCCAAAACCATAAGAATTCATTAAAATTTGTCGTCATTACAGTTAACATCGCAACGAGGTTTTGGTTTCAGCAAACACTGCTTTGTTTTTTTTGTCTGAATATTTTCATAAAATTTAAATTTAATATGGTAGTCATCTTAGCTCGTGATCTTCATAATCAACCTAACTTGTATTTTTTTATATATATCTATTTTTAAGATTTTCAAAAGAAAAGCCAAGCGTAGATAAATAAACCCATTGTTGCAATGTCAGAATTAGGGTTACTATATTTGACAAATTGGGTTTATATATATATAGCAGTGGGGGTTGTTCAGTCAGATTTCGAATATTTAACAAAATTATTATTTTATACTATAAATGAATGATGCATAATTTTTTTTTTTGAATAGTCTGATGTGATTATAAAGTAATATTTATTCAAAATATTGTTAATCAGTTGACAACACGTCCTCTGCAAACACAATTGTTTGAAACTATTAGATGAGTTCATGAATAAACATTTCTTATTAGACTAAGATATAAGTAAATATTTATTTATAATCATAATATATTTTTTGGATTAAGCTAAAACAAATGCATATTTAGACTATTGTTAGCTATCCAAGTCATGTAAAGATTGAATGTCTGGCTGCAAAAATGGTCGGAACTGCGAAGCGTTAATATGACAAAGAAACGTGGCTAATGACAAACACTCAATCAAAACTTTTAGGTTTAGCAGCCATCAAAAAAAATTATTTCTTTTTAATTGAAGAAATGAACATCACCATCGTTATTAGGGTTAAGGGAAAGGCATCTAAGTTCCTTGTCTCCTCTTCATGGTCGGAATACCAAAATTTCAACTAAGAAATAAAAAGGGAGGAAATTTCTACGTAAATATTCTATAGGATATTTCATCTTTACATTAATCGGACGTGTTGTATATAATAAAAATGTTTTTATCGATAATTTTTTTTTAAATAATGATTCAAATGTGGTATTTGAAAATTTATTGGTAAAATCAATTATATCATTAGGTGCATATGAATGTGAGCTCTCTTGGATACTACTTATCATGTTTGTGAGTTGATAATTTAGAGTAAAGTAAATTGTACTAATCAACCACATAATTACAGGCAATATCAGCTTTCAAAAGAAAGTTCATGTGAAAAGTACCACCAATAGGGAATTATTTAGGGTAGATTTTGCAATAGAATAAATGTAAAAATTGCTAAGTGGATAAGAACATGCTTCGTGTATTTCGATGTATATTATTTCATCATTTCGTTTTTGTGTGTTATTTTTTGTCATATTTTCAAAGTTAGTTAAAGTGAAAACCCTAATGGGACATGATGGAAGCAAGGCAATAATGGAAGAGATTGACAACAAAAGAAAAAGAGAAAACTAATGAAAGAAGGATGTGGGATCTACGTATCTACATATATCACAAGTGTTGGTGGTGGGTGGCAAGGCAATTAACTCCAATATTTCTCTTTTCTTTCTCCTTTAATTTCATGTCTCCGTTTACTTTGACAGTTCGTTTGTGACAGCGAATTCAATTAGATATAGGGTGGGAGCATAGTGGGGGATGATTAAGACCCGTCTACACTTATCTATCCCATTCCCATTCCCATTCCCATTCCCATTCCCATTCCCATTCCCATTCCCATTCCCATTCCCATTCCTATTTTGCTGCATCTATATACATAGCTATTAATTTTATTGATGTAAAATAAAACTTTATATGATAAAAATAAATTATATGAAATCAAATAATTTTGATGTAGAATATTTTTTAAATTTAAATAAGGGTTCAAAACAAATAAAATTAATAACATGATAAACAAACATGGACTTAATCGGTCGAATCTAACTTAATCATAAAAAAATAAATAGAAAACGATTAAACGACGTCTAATATCGTAAATACGATGAAGAGGCTGTCACGGGGATTGTGGTACGCAATATTTAGTCATCATTTCACTTGAATAATGTGGGAAAATAGGATAGGAGTGGGGACCCAAAGTTTGGTCGCTGGGAGAATCTTGAATTCTATGAAGGACCGTGACTTGTCCGTCCGTCAGCTAATTAATCAAACCCTCATTAATTTTGGCATCAATCCCAATGCATGTGGTTGACCCTCAGCCAATGGATTTACTTTACTTTTTTTTGCACACACTGTAATTTTCATCCGGTTTTAACCTTTTTTCTTACCCTTCATCTTGTACCTCCGTGGAATATTAAGCATAGTATGGCACCGACAAAACTTGGAACTCTTTGGAAACAAAGAAAAATAACATTTTCCATGCTTTCCTACGTGAATTTGTGTATTGCCATCGTTTTTTTTGGGTAAAATTTGTGTTGTAATTTTTTTATAGTAAAAAATACATTTTAAAATGATTATAAAAAAATATATTAAGAATTTTTTCAATTATTAATAATATATATTACACACTTTGTAGCTATAATTCCTTGAACTAAAATTTTATGTGTAAAATAATACTCTTTTATTAAAATCACTCAATATATTTGTAAAAGACATGATCTAAATGAAAAAAAAACTATTATTACTATTGTTTTATCACCATATGTTTTTTTTTCATTGATTCAATTATTTAATATTATTATTTTAATTTTAAATGAAAACGTTTTTAATTTCCATAGAATCTCTTGGGGCAACTTAATTTCGATGTAATAAAGATAACAAGAGTTTATTATTGTCGTCATTACATTATTTATTCTTAAATATCATGCGTTTGGGAGTGAAATTAAAATGAAATAAAGTAACAAATGTTTTGAGTAATTAAAACGTCACATTAATTCTCTGTCCTTTCTAACTATTATCATGCCAAACCAATTGAACTCCTAACCTGTCATGAAAATTTGTCTGCTTTGTTCAATTTAAAAATATACGTTTTTATTAATAATGATCTTTTAAATTTAATGTCTCTTTAGTAATGTTGAGATGTAAAAACGCTGCACAGACCTAAAAGGTTTTCTTTAGTTTAAAAAAGACACAAGCATTAACCCTAAATCTAAACCACCTTTAAACATTTTTTAATAAACCGCCCCTAAATAATTATATTTTATTTTTTATAAAAATATTCTAAAAACACATTCGACTAAGAACATCTTCTAATTAGGATAATACACGAGACAAAAATATATTTAATTCCTAATATCATTTGTAAAATGTTTCTGATTAAAAGTATCTTTATTTTTCGTTAAGTAAAATATTTTTTTATAATATTATTTCACTATAAAAATATTTATTTCGTAAAAAAGGGCAATAAAGCCAAGGGCAGCGAAACAAATGGGAAACCGCCACTTTAGCATGACCCCACAAACGTAGACAGGGGGAGTATCTTTTATATTTTCATTTATTTCTTTTTAAAAAAAAAGTCATTTAATACCAAAAAGAGAAAGATCCCACGCTTCACACATGCCAAAAGGTTAATGGGGCCCCAACTGGGGCCACGTTCGCAACGGACCCTTCCCCTGTTTTTATTTTATTCGTTAAAAAAATGTGGCTGGGTGCTTGGACCGTATATAGCGGCTTACGTGCAAGAACTGTGTGGTGATAACACGTGGCAGATATGCCGCACGTCAGTTTCTTGGATAAATAAATAAATAGATACATACACAACTGACAGCCAGCCAGCCAGCAATTCAGTTTTGTGGTTAAAAAAACTAAATCCCATGTTTGACAGAACCCCAAAAAGAGAAAATGGTTAAATTTCCTCTTTGCCCCCCGTAAGTCTATCTTTTACCGATGCAACACTGCGTCAATTAAACCGAGCCTAATAAAATTTTAAAAACTCTATTTTCAGTCCCTAATCTATTGAATCAGTTCAACTTATACTTATGACTTTTTAATCCATGAATTTATTTCACCTACTTTTTCAAATTAGTAATTGAATCTTAACTGATAACACTATAAGAATAATTTACATTAAAATATTTATTTAAAAAAAAAATTGCTCACGTGGCCAATATTACACAAATTGTGATTCTTTTTGTTTACATGACTCTCACGTAAATTTACATTGTCCGTTTAGAAAGAAAAGAAAAACTAAGGCGTTATCAATGTTAAATGAAAATAGTGAATATATTCAATTTATGAGAACAAAAATAAAGGACTGAATTGTAAATGTTCAAAGAATACAGGGACCGAGGATTGAATTAGACAAAAAGGGAAAGAGTTTATATAAACCAAATATAATCTAAAGGACAAAATCTGCCACTGCCACCCCATGTTTTACTAATTTTACAAATTAAAATATTAAAAAAAAAGGAAAGTATTTTTTTGACTTTTTCTCTCCTTTGCTCTCTCACTAAAAACCAAACCCTGATAAATCTGTTGTTTGACTTGTTTTTTTCATTCATCTCATTTTCCCTTTGTCCTCTCCTCCAAAGAACTCTCCTTATCTCTCTCTCTCCCATTCCCTTCTTTCACTTATATATCCTTCTAAAAGGACAACATCAAGCTTAAGCACAAGGTTCAAATGCCAGTCGAGGCTCCGAATATGAATATTTTCCCTCAGTTCATCCCCAATGGGTAAACTTCAAACTAAATCCGTCTCTGTTTCTGTATAAATTCTGGGTTTTGTTTTCCATTTTGTTAACGTTTTTGTTGTTGTGACAGAGATTTTACTAGTGTTCCTTTGGTGGATACAAATACAATGCAAGAAGCTGCTGTTTATCAATTTTTCTGCAAAACTTCAATCAACAAAGCTGACAGTGGACTTACGTATAACGTGAATATCCCGGTCTCGTCGGCTCCGAGGAAAAGACCAAGATGCGTCGTTTGTCAATTGCTTCGATTCCTACGCTGTTCCTCGAAAGAACAAATCTTTGGGTGTTTCTTCTGTTGTTGATGCTGGTGTTTTCTGTCAGATTCAACAACAGCAGCAGCAAGAAATCGACCGTTTGATTGCCCAAAATGTGAGTTCTTTTTTTTTTCAATGGTGTAGGACAGGTTAACAAATTAAATAACAAGGACAGTTTATTGATGTTTCTTTTGTGTGTTATTTACAGATGGAGAAACTGAGGGCGGAGCTCGAAGAAAAGAGGAAGAAACAGTCGAGAATGTTGTTAACGGCTATCCAAGACGGCGTCGTGAAGAAATTGAAGGAGAAAGACGAGGAGATTCAAAGAATGGGGGAACTGAACTGGGTTCTTCAAGAAAGGGTTAAAAGCCTTTGTTTAGAGAATCAACTATGGCGGGACTTGGCGCAGACCAACGAAGCCACCGCCAATTCTCTACGCACCAATTTAGAACAAGTCCTGGCCCATGTCTGCAAGGAACGAAACGTTGCCAACGACGGAGCCGCTGCGGATTTGGTTGATGATGCGGAGTCTAGCTGCGGAAGCTGCGATGAAGGGTGGCGCAAGGTGGTTGTTATGCCGCCGCGACAACAACCAACAGAGGCGGTGGTCGAGGACGGTAAAACGAAGTGTAGAAAGTGTGGGGAGAAGGAGAGTATTGTGTTGTTGCTGCCATGCAGGCATCTTTGTCTATGTGCAAAGTGTGGGTCCACTCTGGTAAGCACTTGCCCTGTTTGTGACTCCGTCACCAATGGCAGTGTTCATGTCAACATGTCCTGAAACCATTGTTTTTTTTAGTGAAACAAAACAGAAAAAAGAAGGTAAAATGCAAATATGGTTTTAAGAAATTGATCATAGATTTTTTATTTTAATTTTAATTTTTAACTAAAATTTAGTATCAAATTTTTATTATCTACTTGAACATAATTGATTTTTTAACATTTATATTAAATTTATAATTAATATCTGATATTTTTATATAATCAGTAATATTTGGTATATTAATTAAACACTAACTAATATCTAATATTAATTTGATTAATTAATATATATCGATAATTTAATTAATTATTTAAATGTCAATTAAAACTATTAATTTAAAAAAAGTCAAATCTAAATATTAATTTATTCAACATTCTTTCAGAAAAAAGGGGGTTAATTGTATTGTGTCTTGGCTCATTGAAGAGGTGACCTTCTTGGTTCTTTAGATTCATTCATTGAATTTTTGGTGCCCAGTCTAGGAAATGATGACATTCTTTTTTATTTTACTCGTCAATTTAATTGACTATTTCAAATTGACTACTTCAACTCTAATTAAACTGGAAGAATTATATATTAATTTAAATTGACTCTAATTTTAAAAGAAATTTGATTATTATTTTTTATCATCCCTACCTAAAATCACGTAAAGGCAGACACAATTGAGTGTGAAAGCGACATATAATTACTTTTAGTTGCCCAATTGTCATGTCATGACCATCAACCAGGCTATGATTACTATGATGTAATCTCATCATAAAGCTATGTATTCCGCAAAAATAATTGGATAATTATGTCTTGACAGCCTAATTTAAGGTTAAGAAATAAAAGGAAATAGATTCGTTCGAAAATTTTATAAAATTTATAATATTTTCAATTGGATGCGACTTAAAATATTAACCCTTTAATATTTTTGATTGAACTAAAAATATTATGCATATCGTAATATTTTCGGTTATTAACCAAAAATATTATAAAGACGGGTTTCAACTGAAAAATATTAAGAAAAAATTAATATTTTAAGTTGTGCCAAACCGAAAATGTTATAATTTTAATAATATTTTTGGCCGTTTCTTTTCCCAATCTTAAATTAAACTGCCTTTTCTTAGACT